GAATCTGCGTAACTGCAGGGCTTGTTCCCACCCATGAATCTGCGTGACTGCGTAGCTTGAGAGCAGAAGACTTAAGAGTATGGGTTTGAATTTTGGCTCTGCCACTACCAGCTGAGACCTTTAGCAAATAATTTGACTTCTAAGTTTCCATTTTACCTCAAGTTTAGAGTAGGGATGATGATAATGCCTACTTCATACATGTTGTTAGAATTCAATGTGAAATCATGTATGTGAAGTACGCAGCAAAGTGTGTGACTCTTATAAAAGTCTTAAATGGACCCTATTGTTATTGTTATCCGTATTCTGGTTATCGCGTTACCCAGCCAAGCCTCAGAAAGGTCTGCTAACTTGGCCAAGGTCACGCAGATAAGTGGCATTTTGTGTCCCAGGTGTGCCTGGCTCCTTAACACAACCTCATCTTTCCCCCACAGGCCACCTTCCCTCCGCCAACAGCCATGGTCCCCCTTTCTTGACAGTGTTCGGGAAGCCAAAGATCTCAGAAAGCCTCCCCGGCAGATCAGAGATCTCTCCCCACCACCACTGCCCCCCCCTGCATTGAAGAGGAGGCTGCATGCACACCGTGGGGGCAGTCCCCAGCCCCAGGCCAGAATCCCCCTGAATGGAAACCGCTGAGTCGCACTCCAGTGCTTAGCTCTTTTAAGATGCCCCCATTGGGCCCCTGTATGGGTGACAAGATGATGCATGAGGTCTGGCTAAGCAGCTTATTTGTCTAAGCTGGTGATGGCCTTTGTCCTGAGTTGGGTTAATGGTAAGGAGCAGTGGCCCTTTAAAGCCTGGACAATGGACAGGCTTCTCAGGTCACCGAATCACTCAGCAAATGGCCTGAGCCCCTCCAAGCACTGGGGGCCTCTGCCCCTCCACTCCCTGCTAACCTCACTCTTCATCTAGTGACGCACTGCTCCCCTTCCTAGCCAGGAGGGACACTTAGACATAAAGGGAAAGAAAGACTCAAAGAGCATTCAACAGACAAAGGACTTCAGAGGAGGGAACCAAGATAGACAGAGGACTAGGGATAATTCCTGACCTCCTGCCTCCAGCCTGTGCTCTCCTGCCCTGCTCTTTCCCCTCCCACGAGACATGGCACCCACAGTGACCTGTGATAGTGATTTCCCAGCGCACCTTCCACTACTGAAACCTAACACTACACATGACAGTTTCGACTTCTTAGGCTGGCAGGCAGGACCCACTAGAGTATGCCCCTTCCCCTCCTGCTTGAACCTCTCTGATACCTCCCCAGACCCCCACTCCAGTGAGGCACACCACTGGCCTTCACTACCTGCTTAAACAAAGCAGCCCCCTCTTCTCAGCTTCCTGCATTTGCCTCAGTGTAAGATCCTATTGAAAGAAGGCTTCAAGTGTTAACATTTTCCTCGAAGTTGTGAAAACCACTGATTAAAGTCAATCCATTCCTTACATGAAGAGTGGCTGAGCTAGATTTGAAGCCAGGCCTTCCGATTCCAAATCCTGACTTTCTCTCAGTGGATGTAGTCACTTATTCTTTCTCAAAGATCTCTTGACCGCCTACTGTGTGCCAACCACTGAGGTAGGGCCACGGGTACTGATGTAATCCTGCCCCCGAGAAGGGGCTGAACATTTACATCCAGTCACTGAGAGTTCAATGATGCAAATGTGGAAAGTGCCTAGTGCCTTTGGCATCTAGATGGCCATTGGTGACTATGGTAAGACCATTTTCAGGGTGTGGAGGCTAAAACCAAAGGACAGATAGGAGGTGAAAGGGCAGAAATAGTTTGGATAAATGAGTCTAAGAAATTGGGCTTTGCATCACAGATTACTAATTACAACAGGAAAAAGATTCTTTACGGTGGGGAGATCAGGAATCATCCCCTGTGTGACCACTTAGTGGTCAGTAATATGAAGCAAGAACAAGTACATTCCATCACATGTGAGATGTGAACCTGAATCTAATCATGAGGGAACAGTCAAGAGCCATCCAGTATGTAGGGACAGTCTGTACGGCAGCTGGCCTGGACTTTTCCAAAAGGTCAATGTCATGAAAAAAAGGAATCAGGAGTGCTAGGGTGGGTAGAAATTTCTTCTAGATTAAGAGACTAAATAAATATAGCAGCCACATTCTTTTTTTCTTTTAATTTATTTAAATTCAATTAATTAACATATAATGTATTATTGGTTTCGGAGGTAGAGGGCAGTGATTCATCAGTCTTTTATAATACCTAGTGCTTATTATATCACGTGCCCTCCTTAATGCCCCCCCCCACCCCCCTTCCCTCCAGCAACCTTCAGTTTGTTTCCTAAGATAAAGAGTCTCTTATGGTTTGTCTCCCTCTCTGATTTTGTCTTGTTTTATTTTTTCTTCCCTTTCCCCATGCTCCTCTGTTTTGTTTCTTAAATTCCACATGAGTGAGATCATATGATAACTGTCTTTCTCTGATTGACTTATTTCACTTAGCATAATACCGTCTAGTTCTATCCACATCATTGCAAATGGCAAGATCTCATTCCTTTTGATGGCTGCATAATATTCCATTATATATATAATACCACATCTTCTTTATCCATTCATCTGTCGATGGACATCTGTGCTCTTTCCATAGTTTGGCTATTGTGGACATTGCTGCTATAAACATTGGGGTGCACGTACCCCTTCGGATCCCTACATTTGTATCTTTGGGGTAAATACCCAGTAGTGCAATTGCTGGATCATATGGTAGCTCTATTTTCAACTGTTTGAGGAACCTCCATACTGTTTTCCAGAGTGGTTGCACCAGCTTGCATTCCCACCAACAGTGTAGGAGGGTTCCCCTTTCTCCGCATCCCCGCCAACATCTGTCATTTCCTGACTCGTTAATTTTAGCCATTCTAACTGGTGTGAGGTGGTGTCTCATTGAGGTTTTGATTTGAATTTCCCTGATGCCGAGTGATGTTGAGCATTTTTTCATGTGTCTGTTGGCCACTTGTTTGTCTTCTTTGGAGAAATGTCCATGTCTTCTAAATATAGCAGCCACATTCAAGCAACATTTGAATCTTGATTAGATCTAAGTTTCTTTTAAGGCTATAAAGAAGACATTTAGGGAAGAATTGAAGAAATTTTTAAATACGGTGTATATATATATATGTTAGGTGACATTGTGGAATGACTGTTCATTTTCTTAGTTGTGATCATGATAGATATTGTGGTTGGATGGGGGAATGTCCTTATTCTCAGGAGATACATGCTGATGTAAGGTGTCCTGATGTCTGCAAGTGTCTTTCAAACGGTCAGAAAAAAAAAATTTATAAAAAGATAATGAAATAGAACGCTTACAGTGGCGCCAGAGTTTTCGAACTTCGCTGCCGACCCTGGAGTACGCGTCCTCTGCGTGGTCGCCTGGATGCAGCTTGCCATGGCCGTACCCTCCCTTGAGGAGCTGGACTCCTTCAAGTACAGCGACCTGCAGAACTTAGCCAAGAATCTGGGCCTCCGAGCTAACCTGAGGGCAGACAAGTCGTTAAAAGCCTTGAAAGCCCACCTTAAACACAAGGTAAAAAAAGAAGATGATAATCGGGATGGAAGTCAGACTTCTGCATCGTCTTGTGATGAGGCTAAGATGCAGAGTGGCAGCCAGGAACAAGCTGAGAGGGAGCCGGTTGACCATGGCACCAAAACCAGGAGAAGGTGCAGGACGGTCCACAGGAACCCTGACTCCCAGCAGGATGATTCAGAGATAAAAATAAGTGATCACACTGAATTGCAGAATCAAGAGAAGCAGGAAAACCAGGATCTCAGAACAGTTGCAGAAGTTCCTTCACCACCAGATGAGAGCCAAGGAGAGGAGAATGCCGTTTCCTCAGGAAAAAGAAGAATAAATGGTAATGAAGATTCAAAGGTACCTTCAGAAAGAAAGAAGCCTCTCTACACAGATGGGTTTTCCAAACCTGGAAAAAGCAAAAGAAATACAAGCACTACTCCAAACTTTAAGAAGCTTCATGAGGCTCGCTTTAAGGAAATGGAGTCCATTGATCAATATATTGAGAGAAAAAAGAAACATTTTGAAGAACACAATTCATTTAATGAACTGAAGAAGCAGCTGGTCACCAAGGGAGCGGTGGTGACTCCGGTTCCTCTCCGGGGAAGGCTCCGCGCAGCTTGCACCCCCACCAGCCAGCGCCGCTTGCCAGGCCGGCCCCTGGGCGCTGCAGGCCGGAGCACCTTGTGTGGGAAGGGCTCCGCCAAGCGAGCCGTTCTCTCGGCTACAAAAATGAATGTCAGGTTTTCAGCTGCTACCAAAGATAATGAGCATAAGCGTTCACTGACCAAGACTCCAGCCAGAAAGTCTCCACATGTGATCATACCTGGGAGTACCCCAAAAGGCCAGGCTGTGCTCGGGACAGACAAGTTAAAGACCACAAATGGAAATTCTGTTTCTGTTGTTACCCCATTCAAACTGACAACTCAGGCAGCACAGTCTCCAGTCTCCGACAAGAAGCCAGCATTTGATCTCAAAGCAAGTCTGTCTCGTCCCCTCAACTATGAGCCACACAAAGGCAAGCTGAAACCATGGGGTCAATGTAAAGAAAATAATTCTCTGAAAGAGCACGTAAACAGAGTTAGCTTCCACAAGAAAACTTCCAAACAACCTCCTCTCCAGACTAGGGAGGAACAACGGAAACAACATGAGCAAAGACGAAAGGAGAAGAAAGCAAAGGTTTTAGGAGCTCGAAGAGGCCTCATTATGGCTGAAGATTAATTTTTTAACATCCTGTAAATAGTATTTTATTCTGAACCCTTTCTTTATTGTAAATATTTTTCTGTCTTTCCCATTTTAGTCAAAAGACTTTTTTCTGCTCTTTGTTCACTATCTATGTAGTGTTTGTTGGTGGTTCTCTTCACATACTACATCCCTGAAAAGTTGTTACCTTAAAGCTCACAAATTCTTTGAAATGGTTTTTACCTAAGTTTCTGTACAATTCAGTTTTCTAATGAGACTCATCCTATAGATTCTTGACCTAGATCTTTAATGTCAAGTTCCCTGTGCTGACAGAACTGGAATCCTCTTCCAGACAGAAGCATTTACCTGAGGGTAGGTAGTTGTACCACAACCTTTAGTAGAACCTAAACCACTAACAAGCTGAGAAAGCCACCTCATCCTTCTCCAGAGGATCAAGTCTTCTTAATGAAACAGGGACCCAAATGGGTTGGTAATGGCATAAACTACCTATGTGAAGTGTTTTGTTACCTATGCACACTTGTTCCAATCACTTGATGGAAATGCCCTCTGTCACTCAATATATTCTTAAAAACTCTATAGCTCATTCTAGCCTTAAAAATATACAGGGCCATACTGAAATCTGAGGACTGCTGCTTCAAGGATTAATATGCTCTGTCAGAGTTACATCTTACTCACTTTATGGAAAAGACTAGAGTTGCTTAGCCTCACAGCCATGTTTGTTGCACCTAGGTAGAGCTTTGTACTGTTTAAGATTTTCATAAATGTTTTCTCATGGTGGTAGATTCTTTGTAAATAAATTTACTTCATGATTGAGTTGAAAAAACAAAAACAAACAAACAAAAAAAGATAATGAAATAAAGCAGTGTGGCATCATATTAACAATGGACAGATTTAGGTGAAGGGTATATAGGTGTTTTTGAACTATTCTTTGGACTTTTCTTTAGGCTTGCAAGTGTTCCAAATAAAAGTGGGAGAGATGTTGCTTGGGTTGAAGGGAGATTGGATAAAGCAGCTGAGTTTTTGGAAAGGTCTCATGGGATGGGCGAGGTGTGGGCGCATTGTGTAGTGCAATCCCACCTCCACCCCCTTTGGGAGCTCAGAATATAGAAACCCTGTGAACCTTTACAGAGAATTGATAGTTTAGCAGCTGTGATAAAACAGTCCCTTCCTGGGCGTGGAGGGGACTTGGTCGAGGCTCTGGAGCCGGTAATGGGAACCACATTGGCAGAAGTGTGCGGAGCCCCACCCCAGAAATAGCCCTTCTGTGCTGAGGCAGGACAACTGGAACGAATTATGTGCATTCATACTCGTTAAACTGCCTTGGCACCAGAAGTGATCCCTGTAACCTGAGCTTTACAGCGGTACAGCTCTAGTTAAATTTGGGCCAGCCTTGCCCCGCACCCTCTCTGTCAGAGGTTTATAGCTAAAGCATAAAGCAATTCAGCATGAGCTGAAACATGAAAAACTCCTCCATATTGTAAAGGCAAACTTTCCTGTTTAAAGCTTTCTAGCGAGGCAGCATTTTAGAATAAAACCTTTTCCGTCTCCTGCTTTTCCAGCCTTGGCCAGAATCCCAAAAGCCCCCACCCCATCCCCACCCCACTCCCCATCTCCAACCAAGACCACAATCCAATCAAACACAGAAGCTGCTGCATTCTGTGGTTAGAAGGGTTGTATTGTGGCCGGGGAGTCCTGCCTTCTGAGTCTGAGCCCTAAAGCTGTGTGGCCTTGGGCAAATTGGTTTCACTCTCTGAGCTTCAGCCTCTTGCTAATTTATAGACAGTATTAATTACAGGGTTGCTTAGTCCATACGGGTGTGTGGTGACTGAGCGTAAGGAGACTGGACACCCAGTGACGCTGTGTAAATATTGTCTTATCGATCACATCTGAGGGTGTCAAATACAGAGAGATCTGTGGAGACTAGTCTTTTTTTTTTTTTTTTTTTTGCCATGCCACGAGGTGTGTTTTATTTTCATTCAACATACAAATAATTTGCTATAATATCCCAGGGCAAACCGGGGAATTTGGCAGGGAGGGGGGTCCCCTCAGAGACCCACAGGCTGCAGTGCCCGGGTTCATGGTGCAGCTTATCGCGCGTGTCCATCTTGCAGGTGGCTCTTCTTTCTCCACATCATGACTGGGGTGTCCCGAAGATTACGGGGGTGGGGAATCCTCTAGGTTCTTAGGAAATTCCACTCCGCTTCTCCTGCTCAGTGGTCTCTTTGGTCGGCAGGGCGTTCTTCTCTTGCGTCTCCATTTTCTTCAGCTTGGCCTTACCTAAACTGGCGATTTCCCCCATGTCCGGCTCGTCCGCCATTTTCTTAAAGCAATTGTGGAGTTCCGCTCCGAGCCCGGCGCCTGGGGCTCCCGCTCGCGTTGCTGCAACAGGAGACCTGACTTTTTTGATCATGAAGGAAAGCTTACCCAAAACTACTACTTCTACCTAAAAGGTAGCCGAAGTGCAGCTCTCACTAGAAGACAAATCATATGGAAAGACATAGGGAAAGAATTTGATTTTGTCCTCTTATTAAGAATTTCTGGTAAAAGGGGGGGTAGGCTTTGAAGTCGGATAGGCCCAGGTTAAAGTCCAGGCTCTGCCACTTACTGGCAGTGTGCCCCCAGGCAGGTTAGTAATCCCTTTGGAGCCTCGGTCACTTCGTCTGTATAGTTGGGCATAATAATGCCAACAGAGCAGGGTGAGTGAGGAACGAACACACCTTATGAAAAGCTCTTTGCCCAGTGCCTACCAAATAGTCAGCATTTAATGAACAGAGCTGCGGCCATTATTGAATCTGAGAAGAGAAAGGGTCTTAATATTGAGACCTGTGTCTCGAGTGTTTTTCTTGGGCACCAGGAATGACAGACCAAGGGTGGCCAGTGACATCAAAAGCCCTGCCCTGCAGACCTTACAACAGATGATGAAAATGCACCATGATTTCTGCCCTTTTGAAGCTCTTGGCCTAGCCCTTCAAGCTACGAGGGGTTTGGTGGGCTTGGAGAACACTGAGGATGGGGAGAAGCTTTAGTTGTTATTTCAAAGTAAGATAGCTCCTTCAACATGGCAGACTGGTTTGTTCAGAGCCCCATACCTGGACTTGTGGTCTGGCAAAGGGGATGACCTTCACGCACCTGTTTCTCCTGGCAATCATGGCTAGCGATGGGTGGGAAAGTGTGGGCCAGAATCAGGTGACTTGTTTTTTCTCTCTAGATTAAGAACCCCAAACTGCTTCATAGGAGGTTCAGCATTTCATTTGAGTCAGCACAGTGTCATCCAGTTTACCCAGCACAGGACTGCTCCTCCGATCCCAGCTCTGCCCTCACTGGTGTTGGAAAGTCTCTCCATCTGCTTGGCCCTCACTCTTCAGGTCTCTAAAGGGAGACTAAGACCACCTGCTCTGCTGGCCTCTCCAGCCGGTCATGTGGCTTCTATGAGCTAAGACACGGGAGAGTGTCCCCTGCACAAGAGGACAGGAGGCAGCCCCCAGGAGCACACTCTCTAGCCAGGCAGGCGCATCGTATGCACCAAGCGCGCTACATGTTTTCCTGCAAAGCTACATGCAAACAGAGGATGTTATTACTAAAATACTTGGTAAATAGAATGTTTAGTAAATGGAAACATTGTGAGTATAGGATAGGAGAGAGAATACTAATATTTACTTACCAGCTGCTACCCTTAATTTATTCTGGTTTTGGCATCTAGATTCTTGACTGTGTATTTTTGCACATTAAAGTAACACACCTGGGTTGTCAAGACTTTCAAACAGGTCATCTACGATAACACTAAAAATCTAGGCATGTTTTCCTACTAGAAAAAAAAGAATTTTCAAATATGCCTTGAAAATCGCCGTCCCTCTGGACAGGGGAGAATTTATGATGGGCAATTAAAGGACGTGTATTTGCTGAATGTGTATTTCTCCTGCTAACGCAGGGGAAGTAATTAATAAAAGGGGGAAGATGAGGTTCGAAAGGGGCTGGACTTGCTTCCTGCCCATTGGCAGGTTGGGTTAAACATTTTCAGTCTGTGCATTCCTTGGGCGAGCTCTCTGTTGCTCACGGCCACTCCCAACCCCTCCCCCGACACTAGGTTCCCTTCTTTTTCTGTGTCCCTGCTTTCGTGAGTCAACGTCCTTCAAAATGTGCCTCTTCCGGGACTGAAAAAGTGCCTAAAAGTTGGAGAGTGAAATCACCCCCTTCCTCTGGGGGTTCCTGTCCCAGCTCAGGGGCTGTCACCTGTGGGCTGGGAACAGGTGTGTGTTTGTTGTCTGACAGGTACGCACTTGTAAGGGTCTTTAGCTAGGGCCCCTGCTCTGGGGCTGCGGCCAGATGCACATTTCTGGGGTGGGGAGAAAGAAGCTATCCCAAAGATCCTCACAGGATCTCGTGCCAGAGGAGTTTCATCAGGTTTCAAAGTCTGGTCAGCGTTCCCACTGCACCTTCAGCCTTGTGGGGGCTCTCTCGGAAAGACGTCCCATCTGGAGGAAGGGCACAGGCTTTGGAGTCAGCCAGACCAGCCTCGGATCACCGCTTCTCCAGTTTGTAGCCACATAGCATGGAACCATCCATCTCCCACTCTGAGTCTGAGTTTTGTCCTTCGCAAAATAGGGTAAGAATTCTTACCTCGGGTGGGGGGCAGTTGGCAGGACTGAGTTAGGTAGTACTGGTGAAAAGATGAGCGGGGTCCTGGCACATGGTAAACACGAGAATAAGTCAGTCCTCTCTCCAGGCGTACGAACCGCCCACAGGGCTTGCGCTTGTGAAAAGATGAGGGATCCGAGAGGGGGAGGCAGATCAGCCTTTGCCCTAGAGGAAGGCCAGCCAGCTGGTACTCAGGGCTGTCCTCAGTATGGCTCACACCGTGCTTCTCCATGTTTAAAAAGACCTCATCACCCCGAGTCTCACCACCGCTACTTCTCAGGATTGTCACAGGATCCAATGAGATCACGTGTGTGAGAGCATCGGGCACGTTACCTGGCACATGGTAGATGCTCAGAAAATGTTGGATTTTACAAAAAAGAAATCTTGTTGGGACGCCTGGGTGGCTGTCGTTAAATGTCTGCCTTCAGCTCAGGTCATGATCCCAGAGTCCTGGGATCGAGCCCCGTGTCGGGTTCCCTGCTCGGCGGGAAGCCTGCTTCT